AAAAAAAAAAAAAAACATTGACCTGATTTTTTTAAGCCAAAGTCTCATAAATAATAGTAATATCAGCTTTAACAAGGCAGTCTTGACTCTATCACACATATATCCCTGAATTAGTGCCTATTTTTCTACTTTTAAAATACTTTATGGAACAATTTGAATTACCTTTAAAGGTCATCAAGTGCACTTGATTTTCCTCCGTCTAATTTCTGTTTTGAAAGATGAGCATGCAATTCTGTGAAGCTTAGGTCTTCTGTTAATTAGAAAGGTTTACATATCCCTTAATATTCTACCATTCACTCCATTGATTAGGTGCATTTCCTATTGAATGATTTTATGAATACAGACCATACAGGGAGATACCTGTTTTCCTATTGATAAGGCTTGTCATTAGATAAAAGAGTTTATAGCACACAGCTACAGATTATTTGGGTTCAAGCTATCAGGAAAAAAATGTTTTCAAAAACAAAATATATTTCAAAGTCATTAAGTTCAATTATCATGGCTTTGTTAACTTTGAGAAGCATTTCCTCTTTGCACTTAATACACCCAACACTCAATGTGAATTCTCAAAATTAAGAATTTAGTATAATGTGGACAGTGGTTTATCTAGAGCAAATAGATACTAGGACAAATCACACTGAAGTTCTCCAATGCAGTACTATATGAGACAGCAAAGAAATCAGTTGTGACTTATTGAATGTACGATTTGATGGCAGTACTTTGTAGTTTAAGATAGTAAACTTTTATGAAATATGTAGATCTCTAGATCCTTGTTGAGTAATAGAAATAGATTTAAAAATGTGCAAAAATAAAACAAAACTTAATCTAACTATATTTAAATTAACATATTATAAATTCATTAGAATTAATGCTCAATTCTGAAGTTATATTACTAAAATACATTGTATTATATAATGGAGGAAAACAAAATATTATAAAATCCTTATTCACGTTTTCACCAATTATTAATTGTGAGTATGTTTTGGGCTACTTGTTAACGTTCATGCCACAACTGAGCCAGTCATATCCTTCAAATGGAGCATTATTGTAGTACAAAGTGTTAATAATTTGCAGAAATTGAAATTTAATCATCTAGTATCTTGTATAGCACCTTACTGAACTAATTGTGAATACTAATCAAAGGGGGTTAACCTTCCAGTTGAGTACCAACTAGATTTCACCATGTTCTAGGACACAAACACATAGTATCTTACTATGATAATTGATTATTAATTTGAATATCTAAAATTAGTCTCATTTCATTAAAACAAAGGATATTGTACTCCTAGTTTTGTGTGTCAACTTGACATAAGCTACAATCATAAGAGGAAGGAGTCTCAGTTGAGGAAATGACTCCATGAGATCCACCTTTAAGGCATTTCCTCAATTGGTGATCAATGGCGGAGGGCACAGGCCATGGTGGGTTGGGCCATCCCTAGGCTGATGGTCCTGGGTTCTATAAGAAATAGGCTGAACAAGCCAGAAGAAGCAAGCCAGTAAGCAGCACCTCTCCTTGGTCTCTGCATCAGCTCCTGCTTCCAGGTTCCAGCCCTGTTTGAGTTTCTGTCCTGACTTTATTCAATGATGAACAGCAATTTACCCCCTTTCTTCCTCAATTTCCTTTTTGGTCATGGTGTTTCATGACCTAACTAAGCAATAGAAACCGTAACAAGACAGATATTGAATGAAACAAATCAATTTTATTTTAAAGCAAATGAATAAAATCTTTTCTCCTTATAAATGGATAGCTTCCATTTAAATTCATTTACAATTTAAGGTAAAACAATTGTTTATAAACTGACTTATTCCAAGGTTTTCAGTCAAAGTTGAAACAATCCTGTACTAGACTTTTATAATGCCAATAATTTACATAAGGTTAATAGCATTTTTTACTTGCAATCAAGTGTAAGACATAAACAATGTAAGAGAGAGTGGGTTTAATTTTGTTCAGTGTCAGAAGTAGTGACATACTGACATAGTCTTCTTGTTTCTGGACCTCTGGTGTGGTTAAACATCATGTGGGACATGGAGGGGTAGAGGAAAGCTGACCACTGCATGCATACAGGAAGTAAATATAGTTGAAAAGGGATTTGGGCAAGGTATATCTAACAGGACACATTGACCATTCCCTTCATCCACTAAGACGGTGACACCTCCTATTTTCCAACACCTTCAGGTAACAGCATAGAACTGTTAATTCATTAAGGAGTTAATTTATTAATTAGGCAAGATCCTTTAGATACCAATTACTTCCCAAAATACATCAGTTTGCAAGTAAACCCCCAACCTGAGTCTCCAGGGAACATGAGAAGTTTATCATATACATTTTCTCAACAGTTAAAAGTGACTCACATGATAATAGGTACCAGAAAGTATTAATTAAAGTCCCATTTACTTTAAGATACATTTATTTCACTGTTAAAAATAAGTAGTTTCCCCCTAGGGAGACAAGACTATTTTCCAAGTTCTATTTATTCCTATGTTTAACTCTGATTTGGGACTGTGTCCAAAATACAGGATTTTTAAAATTCTTGTTATGAATGTCCATTAGAGAAATTAATATTTTTTATTCACCTCCACTATGTAGATGTCATTTAATAAGTCTTCTTAAGTGCAATAACAATGCCTCACTGTATAAAGGCACTTTCTTCCAAGCTTGACTTCCTAAGTTTGATTCTTAGGCCCTAAATAGTGGAAGGAGAGAACTGACTTTCGCAAATTGTTATCTGACTGACATACATGCACAGTGGTGTGCACACACATACCAACATGCATACACACATGCAATGATATAAGAAATTAAAAAATGAGTCTAATGAAATTATGTGACTTCAAATAAATAATTTTAGACTAAGAAATTTAGCTATTTTCTTTTTAGGATTCTTATTCTACATAAATTATTTCCAAAGTAGCTGCACCAATTTGCTTTCCCACCAAGAGTAGATAAGGGTTTTCTTTCTCCACTACCTCTCCAACATTTGTTGTCAGTTTTTGTTGTTGACTGGGGTGAGATGAAATCTCAAAGTTTTTTTTTTTGTTTGCATTTTCCTAATTGCTAAGAGTGATCAACATTTTTGAGATATTTCTTGTTCATTGTTATTTCTTCTATTTTGAACTCTGTTTAGAAGCCTAGCCCATTTTTTATTTGGGCCCCTTGTTTCCTGTATTTGAGTTCTTTGGATAATGTGTGTAGGAATCCCCTGTCAGCTCTCCTATTCTATAGATTCCCTTTTCACTCAATTGTTTGTTTCCTTAGATGTACAGAAGCATTTTAGTTTTGAAACAACCCACTTTCCAATTGTTGGCCTTAATTCCTGGGCAAATGGAGTCCTATTCAGAAAGTCCTTTCCTATATCTATACCTTGTAGGGTACTGCTTGTGTTTTCTTCTAGCAGTTTCAATGTTTCAGGTTTCAAATTGAAGTCTTTGATCCACTTAGATCTAATTCTTGTATATCTATACCACAGTTCCTACCTCTATAATTCAGAGAACCTCATAGTAATGGTAGTAGAAAGAATATAAGAGCCAGAAGTCTTGAAGCTTCTGGAATCTAGAATACAGGAAGTCTCCTGTGAAACAGTCTCTCCTAGAAATGGCTGATAAACTATACTGAAACAATGGCAATATTAATGGACATGCTGATGTAGAAGGAAGAAAATTTTGGGGTTCTATACCTAGACAAAACTACTAGCAACTGATGAGTGCTGGAAGGAGAATTACCTCTTCCTTATTGGCTGCCAAATACAGAGATGTCAGTCCTGAAACCATGTGCACAAATAATAAAAATGGACTCAACCTATTGTATTTATATATTTGTGTATGCACATGAGCATACACATATACTTGCACACAACACAAACAAACACATACACATATATGAGGCTATCATCTTAGGAGTGCATGAGATGGTTTGGAGGGAAGATATCTGGGAGTGTCTTTAAATACATATTAGAAACAAGTAAAGAAAATAATCAAGCTTTGAAAAACAAATTTAATTACATAATACAAAATGTGTTTTAAATTTTTATAAAATTACATTTACATGTTTCTTTATTAAGATTACATGAGCCGGGCGTTGGTGGCACATGTCTTTAATCCCAGCACTCGGGAGGCAGAGCCAGGCGGATCTCTGTGAGTTCGAGGCCAGCCTGGGCTACCAAGTGAGCTTCAGAAAAGGTGCCGCAAAGCTACACAGAGAAACCTTGTCTCGAAAAACCAAAAAAAAAAAAAAAAAAGACTACCTACTATTCAAATTGAAAAGACCTCACTCTGTGTCCCCATACCCAACCCCCAGGGTCACCCCTAACACTGCAACATAACACCAGCTGCAGCATCCCCTCTGCCCTGTCCATGCCTTTTGAACTCTACAAACCATCCTGCCCTGGCCTCCCTTGCCCCCTCCTTGCTG